ACAGCGCAGAAGTTATATTTGTTCTGGTTTTTTGTTATCGGTTGTAAACCGAACAGCGAAACAATGATGCTTAAAAGAAATTCCACTTTTTAATAAAATATTATAGAATATTTTGCTTTTTAAACATAAACCTACCAATTTTTTTCAAGAGTTAAGAACACCGAGAGAAAAACTAATCGTGCACTTATTTTATTTTTTGAGTGTAACTACCCGACTAAAACCAATTTCAAAAACCAATAAAAATAACGTTATCAGTGGAATACCTCAAGGAAGCATACTGGGACCGCTTTTATTCATAATATTCTTTGATAACATTACGCAGGAATTTCCTAGTCATTACGTTGCTGCATGCGCGGACGTCACAACCTCTAATGCTAGTTTATATATTTTGTCCAAAATATCAATCTGTGCGATAAATAAAATGATAACTTTTCAAAGAAACTTCCACACTGTAATACTTTTTATAAAACTTCTGGATTCCTCCTGCGTAGGTTTTTGTTGAGTCGTACTAGTTAACGTTTCGTTAATCATCCTGTTGGTTTCTTCAGAGCTTGACTGAAACTGGCTTGCATTGAACTCATGGTCGGGAATCCCTAGTAGATAACATACGTTTCACCATTGAAATAGAAACTAATAACCTCCCATTCTTAGATATTCTTATCAATAGAAAATCAGACCTAACATTGGGTCATTGTGTTTACAGAAAACCTGTGCACACAGACCGATACTTTAATGGTCACATCACCATCTGGCCCAAAGATCATCGGTTATCAACTCGCTTGTTTACAGAGCCGTAAAACTATCCCAGCCCGAGTCGTTGAACCCAGAATTAAAACACCTTACCTCTGCTCTTCTCTCTAATAATTTCCACATTAAAGATATTAAGCGTTCCATCACAAGATACACTTCACCACAACCTTCCAATTGCAGTGAAACCGAAAGCAGTCGCAGATATGCCATTGTTGTCCTTCCTTATATTGAAAACATCACTGACCACATATTAAGAGTTCTAAAGAAATATAACGTCAAAACCAGGTTTACCACTTGTCCAAAAATCTTCGATCCGTCAAAGACAAAATTCCATTTGAGATGGCAGGAGTTTACAGCATTCCATGCTGTAAACTGCTGGCAAAGAATACATTGGAGAGACCCGATGAAAAATATCAACTAGGCTCAAAGAACATGAAATAGCCTTAAGACTACAACAAATAAACCCATCTGCAGTTGCCGAACACAGTCACGAAACCGGACATAAAATTTTATTGGATAAAACTAAAATTCTTGCATGTAATCGATTTTTCTACCAACCAAAAATGCCAGAGTGTATAGAAATCTGCAACCTAACACTCTTCACCGCGACTCAGGTCTCTGCCTGACACCAATATGAGAATCAGTCATCAGAGACGGTGTTTATGCCCGTCATTTAGCTCCACCCCCTCAAACAATATAAAACCAGGTACACAATAAAATGCGAGCCAGTTTCGGTCAAGTCCTGAAGAAGCCAACAGGATGATGGGCGAAACATTAGCTAGTTCGACTCAACAAAAACCGATGCAGGAGGAATTCAGAAGTTTTATAAAAAGCATGAAAATGATAACTTTTTGCAATGAAACTGGACTTTAAATGAATCGAAAGAAGAAATGATGCGTTTCGCAATTGAGATATAAGGTTGACGTTCAGCTTTTGTTGCTTTTCTATTAGGGCTACGTACAATCCTGCTTGTCATATGCCATCGTGTGTTGGGGTAACTGTGTCAGGATAAGTGGGTGTTAAGAGTATAGAAGAGAATAAAGACAATTATTTTATTTAAGCCATATACATAGTCTTGGAAAAATTATTTCTTAATCTAAATTTATTAATGTTCCCGTCTCTATATATTTTAGCTTCGATTATGTATATAAAAAAATATATCAGATTACTCTCAGTCCAGAAATGGTAAACAGCAGTTCAGGTTGAGTTTAATGTGATATTGAGTATGCAAGTGCCTGAATCTTTGGCTAGGGCTAATAGCCCGATAGTTCTACCAGTTAAACTTCCCCCTAAGGATAAAAAATACAAAAAAGTAGTGCCTTTAAAAGTGTACTTGTAAAATAATTTTGCAAAAAATGCTTTTAATGCTACAAATGAATATCTAAATTGCAACACTTCCGAGCTTATGCCCTAATTCCTTGTTAAAAGTCAATGGAAACAAAAATTAGTCTTGTCTTGTCTTGCTCAGGCAACTGGTATTGCCGTTAATTTAAACTTTTTTACATTCTGGGCAATTGCACGACATTCTACTTTTATTTAAAAAGTTGGGTATGCAATCAAGTTCGTAAAGTCTTAAAATTTAAGTGCCACGTTATTTTGAATTCTTGTGAATTCGAAAGAGTCGGAGAGGATAAGGTTTGTTTGGCGTTAGTGCAAAACGAATACTAATGTGCAATAACCGTCTTCCACACTTATTAAAAAAAAATTACACTGTTTTCTCGAGAAAACGCGTCACGCAATTCATATCGCGCAATGAAATAATGAATTTTAAATTTCGCGAGCAATCGTGAGAAACTGATCCAAGAATGTCGCGTGGATTACATTTTACGATCAAACTTGTCTTGTTCGCCTTCCCTTAAATTAATTTGTCGCCTGAATAGAACTAACCACAGAAAATAATAAAACATTAAAAAAGAAACACAAAATCTCCGAAATTGATTTTTAGTTATTTGGTGTGTTTATTGAAATAAAATAGATGAAATCGCCAGAATAAATCAGAATAATCATCCACTTTAATAATATTAATTCGTTCAAGAAGTAATAATGGTATTTTGATATATTTAAATGAACATACTTAATATTTAAAGCTGATTTAATGCTAGCTAGACGATGCATATTATAAATGAAAATAATAAATTATCACAAAGAGAGTGCAGGTAGATAAAAAACGTTTTGGTTAATTTGATTTTGCTTTGATCGTTGCTTACTTTTTTTTCAACGTCACAATTATCTACATTTGTAGTTCCCGAAAAAGATTTATGTTTAGAAAAAGGTTTAGACAGTTATTAGAGATATATAGATATCTTGCATCTGCTGATAATACATAAATACAACATTGCAACAGTTAAAAATGTGGAGATCACTACTTCGAAAGAAAATGGCATTCGATCAGTCGCTTCTGTATGAAAATATCGATAACCGTCTGATACGCATCAATTTATTTATATTTATATTATCTAATAGCTATGCGGGTTTAAATATTAGCCAATAAAAATGTTATAGCTCTCGATTCTGGTTTGGCCAAAATTTAAAGTGAATGGCACATTTCTGGTTCTGGTTAGTTTGGTATTTCTTTGACAATTATCTTACCCTTTACCTACTGTTTTTGTTATTGTCAGTACTAAGAACAATTGTTCACGTTGAAGACAGATATTCGCCAATAAAAATATTGTCTGACAATTTACTCCAAAATTCTTACTGTGACAATCAATTTAGCATTTTTTTGATGTCATTGTTTCCTCTTTTTTCGTTGTCAGTATTAGTTGCTGCGCTTCTTGATAAAGATGCAAATAATTGGCGACCTTACTTTTGTCAGTGCTCCTTTTTCTTAATTTTCAGTATTTGTCGTCACAGTTCCTCTTTAGGATAGATTGTTTAGTTATTTGACAAAAAAATTTCCAAAAGTCCGAAATTGATAATTAAAGTTAAATTAATTAAGTAATGGAATACATTTAAAATAAATCGCTAAGGTCAGAATTTTGTTTGGTACTAAATTTAAAAGTAATCGCATAACAAACTAAACCCGCATATAATTTCCATCAAATGTCGAACTGCGTAGGTTGGACACCGTTCTCCTTGATTCGCATACTCTTCCTAGCCAATTACACCGCTTTGTTGCAAAAACGCGAATGTTATAAAATTATTCGCCGCATTACGTAAGCATCCGCCAATAAGAGTCAACGACAGACCCAGTTTATGATTTTTGACGCCCGCCAATACCGTTACGAATAATCGAATACAAATAATTCGATTTGTACTGACGACGCGTTCGCATCTCTAGCCATTGTTATTTCTACGCTCGTTCATTCACATGTTATCGTTTATCTTACGTCCACTCCACGCCGACTACAGTTACCTTAATAATTATTGAGTTAATGATTCAATTCGTCTAATTTTAGACGTTCCCGTATTCGCAGCCATATTTAAAAACGCCGTCGTTCTTTTGTCACGTTATTAGCTGACATCAAATTGAGATAACTTCAATCAGCATTGGTCGCATTTCAGAAGCTGCATTTTATTACCCTTGAACTACAAGGTTTATTTTTACATATACAATTTCGTTCGAACTGTTATTTATTTAAATATATGAGAGCTTTTTAATGTACTCAGTTGTTGTTAACAAGAGTAAAACAAATACGCACAACTGCATGGAATAAAATTGAAGCTTAACTCTAAAAAAATGGAAATCAGAAGCTGCCATTTTGCTTTTGTGCAAAGAAAAATAGTAAACTATTGATATCAATATAGTATTGCTGTAGTATAGTATAAAAGAGTTACAAAATTATGATAATGTTATTGACAGTGAGTTGACAAAGAGGTTTGGACCAGAATCGGAACCACTGGACTATTCCCAGATTTCAGGATCATGCCACACTTTTTATGAGGCTCAATGCAAATTAATAAATAAATAGTCAGCAATATTATTAATGGTATTGTTATTTACCGGCAATTGGCGATTGCCCCGGATTTATCAATACATTTTTATTATTTTATTATAATCCTGTGCCGACTATAACATTTAAATTAAGGAAAAGCTCTATCAGCTAAAATTGGGTTTAAAGCCAGAATGTTACTTTCGAATTTGTCGATTGAAAAACGCGGAAGTAACTTTGATGTGGTCTAACTAAAAAATGTCATTTGTAAATAAAGGAAACTATTTTGCGGATTTTTAAGTATTTTTGCTCTATCCCTTGCCGTCGGCTTCAAAAATAAAAATGTGACGCGCATATTAAATAAACAAAATTGCTTACCGAATAAAATATCGGATTTCCTTTAAAAAAAATGCTGAGAATATTGCACTCTACCGAAACCCGCGCACTATACTTTGTATCTCATTTTTCTTGAATTTTGGTTATTTTTCGACAGCTGTCATCGAAATCTGGACTTTCCTGTTGCGTATTTTATGACGGACCCGCTCTTCGTGGTCACTCGCTCTTATCGTGAAGACTGACACCTCCGGGAAATACAAGAAGTCGAAACCGTTCACTATAGATGCGTGCGCCTGCGCTCAGGTAAATCGGTTGGCGTCTTCAGACTGGTGAGCCAAGACGTCTTAAGCGACTTGGTTCCTGCAAGAGATGCGCGCCAAGAAATAGGCAACAGGTACAACATTATAGCCTTTGCAGGAATGGGCTTTGAGTTAGCAAATTCTACATAAGTTTAAACTGTCCATGAAAAATTGCATATAAAATTTAACACTGTGCGTGAGGTAGTGAAAATTTTATGATATATAGCTCAAAGAACAATCGAAAATTAACCATCATATTTTTCTGAAGGAACTCGGCGCAGTTGCTTTTCATCAGTGAGAAATTGTTTAATTAAAATTTGAATTTTGAATTAATGTCAGAGGCGTTTTTCTGTAAGTGCAAGCAGATTGATGCTTAACCCTTCAAAAGTCGTGTATCAGTCGACAGTAAAGGAGACATTAAGGCACTTGCATAGAATATACTTCAATATCTCATTAAACACAACCTGAACTTTTGTTTAAAGGGTTTGGATCCCGTAAACTTTAAGCCAGAAGAACGTCCGTATCTCCTGGCCAGAAAGTTAGCGTTATGATTTCTGATGAACATGGTCCTTGCTTCTAATATGTTAAATGCGATTTTTCCTAATACAATAGAATTTTCCAGAAACTATATTCAGAACAATAAACCCAGGGCTGTTTATAACTGAGTCAACTCATTTGTGATTTTTTATTTATTTGTCTTTTCCCCCTGTTGTATGTCTAAATCTGATCTTTTATCTTTCTTATTTTTGGAACTCTACAATTTTCTCCTGTCGTCATGTTGTCCATGTTATAATTGTAACTTACGTGTCACTTATTATTACTATACTGTTTTTCCTGTTTTTTTTTGACTTGTTAGAAGTTTGTATGTTAACATTGTAGTTTGCGTTCAACTGTTTTCTTTTCATGTATTCCCAGTTACATATTCAATATACATCAAGGAATATAGATTTTTGTATCTCCTCTAATTTTGTTAAAATTTTCAAGAACACCGATATTAAGTGCTAGAGTGTAATTCAGCTCAGTGGTATTTTGCATAAGATTACTACCATTATAGAACAATTTTAATAAAGGACTAGGTCATCTTAATCAAATGAAATCTAAATCAAATAGTAATGGCTGCTAGATTGGTGTTTTGAAAGCTGATTAGGAATAATGACATCTTCCTTTTCGAATATTTTCAGCTAAAATACACTACAATATACACTACAAATAAACTACAATATTACATGCGCATACAAGCGTAAAAATGTGAAAATATTTATTTTAATATCATTAATAAATGCGAGATTTACTTTTTGTTTTTATGACATTTCAGAAGTGAGTACCTTTAATATAGAGTGCATAAATCCAATATTTTGGATGCCCAAACAGGCTTTTATTTTAAATTTACTGAAAGTACGTCCATCAAATAAACGATGCGCCCCCGTACAAAAAGTAGTAGGAATATGTTAATTATCAACCATTGTTTTCAATTGGTAACTGTTTTTTTATAGCGGTACGTGATTGAATATGAATGTGTTTTGTCAGTTAACAATACCGCTTTTGTATTCTATTGCTAGATCGAGTTCTAGAAAACAGAAGCCGAACGAATCAATTAAAACACAATTTAATATTATCAAATTTATTTGAAAAACAATCACAGACAAATTTTACGTTTTTAAAGGTATAATATAACATTGTTTAGTAGAAATAAATCTTGTTAACCCGTTATTACAGTGGTTTCAAAAGTCTCTCTATAAAATATTGCGCTCTGTTATATCTAGGCAACCAGTTTAACGTAAGAACGGGCTATTCTGGTAACTAAATTATCACCAAGTGACGCTGAGCAACCACATCAAATTACAAACCCCCATAAGGTTATTTTTAAAGCTAATCTAGACAAGTATAGTGTCAAATATTCCATAATCGCCATTAAAAATTTAAATATGCTTTGAAATGAAATTGACACACTTAAAGAACATTTTTGTGAAAATCCCATCTCCGATTTGGAGTTTTTTTTGAGTGTCTCATTTTGAAAATATGGGGCTACTAACTGTATTCGTATGTATAAAACATAATTAAATTTACAAGTTACTTTTGGTAGTGACCCAATTTACTGTCCCCTGATTTTAGGTTGATCAAGAAATCTTCTTACAAATTGATATATTCATCAGTATTTGCAACAAAAAGTGTACTTTTTCTTAAATATCTAAATTTAGGTAATCCTCTTTATAAAGTATCTCTTTATAAAATCGACTGAATAGTACTAACCTACTCCCAACCATAAACACGTAGACTTATCCACAAATATTTAACTTCAACGACTTTTAATTCTGTGAGAAGACTTTAGGTAGTCGTTTCGAAATATTTTGTTCATGTGTCCACCGACGTATATTCTGAACCATTCCGGTGGAATCTCGCAAAGGAAGGTCTAGAAAGAAAAATATAATTATTGCAATTGACAATGCCACGTGAGTTCTTACAATTAAACCATTAAAATGGTTTTCAATGTAAGTTAATGAAGTTAATTTCAGGATAGGTAATATTTGCCATAGTCAATTTTAAATAGTATTTGCCGTGGTTTATTATAAATCATCTTATTCAAAAATGTTTCCTGGTGGACGTAGACTACTACTTTGGTGTGTGCAAAACCTTCAACAACGCAGAACGTAAAATGAAAATAGAAATTCTTTGCTAATTTCTTATATCATGTCGCTAACCAAAACTAAAGTAACCAACGAAAAATTGTAAATAGCGTTTTTTCGTTTCTATAAAGGTAAGAGAGAAATTAATTTATAGCGCAGATTTTGAAAGACACAAACTGTCAATCCCTTCAAAGTTTTTGAACTATCGTTGTAAAGTTTCAAAAACAAGCTAACTTAAGTTTTAACGAAGAGAGAAACAACATGGTAAATAATTGTTGCCTCAGAGTGATCAGAATTTTTTGAGGAAGTGAAAATTTTCAGAATAGAAATTTATATTTTTACAGTAAATTATATAAAATCGCAAACCTCTTATGCTGAAAGCGGAATTTGCTATTCTTTTCCCCTTTTTTTTTTCAGTTATTACTTTGTTGCCAAATAGTATCTTCCATATAAAGATAGTTGAGATCCTTATCATATTGCATAAACGATAATACAAAAGAACTTTTTGTTGCTATCATCTACCTGTAAGCCGTGGGTCCAGTAGCCCGTGGAGTTATCCATTTTCCCCAGAGTTGCCACCGCGTATCTAGCGTAACTCTCAGCGTCGGGTACGAATAAACTTTTTCTATTAATCTTCTCGCTGAAATGATTCATCTTCGTTGCGACGAACATGGGGGCCAAATGTTGGATCGTTATCCCGTGTGGTGCGTATTCGGAACGTAGTGCTAAGGTAAAATTTCTGACGTATGTCTGAAAAACCATAAAATATAACTAAACATCAAGCAAATAACCCTGGGGATTGGCCCAAACTTTGGGAATTTTAAATGTAATTGTCTAAACTAGTCACTACTGCTGTGTTGATTTATTGAAGTGGACGTAACTCTTTCCAGCTAATTAAGAAAATAGTTTACACGAACCTTAGTCGCCGCATAAACGGTCATAAGAGGCAGCGGCTGTATTTCCGAACCCGAAGACACGTTGACTATGGCTCCTCTGCCTCTTTGTTTCATATCTTCTATGAACGCTCTGCACATCAACGTCACTGCTCCGACGTTGACGTTTATTATATCCCACAGTTCTTTTTCAGGGACTTCGCCAAGGTACATGGGGTATTCGTACTGTTTTCCAACATTGTTGACTAAAAAGTAACAGAAATTCGGGTACACGAAAATCAGAGCGTGATTAGAGATGCTACCTGTCCTTCTATGGAAGCGAGCAGGGCTCCTAGGGGGAATCAGTCGAAAAGATAAACCGTACAACGCGGAAATATAAATACCAAATCAATAAATAAATAAATACTAAATAATCAACTGACATACTAGAATGTATATAAATTATAAATAGTGTGTATAGTAACTTTTTATTTTCTTGTTTAGTCGATTTAGAAACGTGACAAGACTTTAGTGTAATAAAAAAGAAAAAGAGATACCTAATATTCCGATCGGCAAATCTTGAAGTTCTTTCTTGACGATCTGGGTGGCGTCCTTATCGACGGAAAAATCCACTTGGATAGCTTTTGTTTTGACGGAGTATTTTGATTCTGAAACGAGGTAGCGTTCAGTTAAGGCAACAGATTTGAGAATTTGCACATACCTATTTCCCTTTGAGCGTCCCTTAGCTTGTTTATATTTCTGCTAACGAGGACGATATTCATCCCCCTTTTTGCCAATTCCAGAGCGTACGCTTTACCGATGCCATCTGTTGAGCCTGTAATTACTAGACCCAAAAATATAGACATATAAACACTGGAATAGTATTCATTCACAAAGAAAACTGAATTTGAGCATTCGGAAATGCCCTTTCAAAGGGATTTTCAGACAATCGCAATGATTCGCGGAAGGTAATAGTTCATTTTGATATAAATCACGCAACTAACTTTATAGTGTCAAATTCGAAAGATTCGACCAGGAAATAAAAAAAAATATTTGGAAAAGAAAAAAAGAAAACAAAATTTAAAAGGAAAATAGCGATTGCGCATAAAAAATTTCCCACATGTAGCGAACAATATGGAGGACATTTTGTAACTTTAAATTGAACATGCTGTTTATTTGCGAATTGTTAAAAAATGTATAGAAAATACCTCTTAAAAGTATATAACGTGATGTATTTGTATTCTATTGTCTTTGTAATTTTATGATTATTGAAATTTAAAATTTTATCTTTTATATTTGAGCTTATCCACATCTAATAGTTTTGAAAATAATAAACAATAATTTAAAATAATCTATTACTAATTTTGAAAAATTTATTTTCCTAAAGCTTGTCAATATCCTAAACAATACCAGCATGCATGGTATAGTTATTTAATATCTCAGCTTTTAGAATAGGTATTCGTATAGGTATGCACGAAAAGGTCAAACTTGCCTACCATTAAAGGTGATCGTATAATCTTTCCAAACAGCGTTATTCGCGCCTATTGCTTAAGATTTAATAATTATTAAGTAACGATGTCATAATACGTCACTGAAAATCCTCAAAGTTCTCAAAAATGGCTATCCACGAAATGAAATCCAATCATTGCTTATAAACGCATAAAGGCCGACTTCAAAATTTCAGCAACATATATGCATAGACATTGTTCCTGCATATATCTTACAGAGATCCAAGTGACAAGAAAATATGAAAAATATAATTAACCTGTGGTAAGTGCGTTTTGTTATAATCGTTAAAGATTAACTACAACTAAGAATGGCGCAAAGTCGAATTATGCAAACATATAAGATATAATATTTTAGCATCATTTTAAAAGGTCAGTAAAAACTTGATATTTGTCAATAATTTAGTTATGAGTAAATAACTGTGCCGTGCTTTGCTAAACAAAATTCAATTCAGCGTCAGCACTTGTTTTGATTTAAAGGCTATATTTGTTTGTATTTCACAAACAACAACAAACTAATTGGGCGGCAAGCTTTCGACCTAATTTTTATGTTAATATTATTACGCAGGTATTAATTAATATTATATTATTGTTAATTCACGAACTAATTTCAGCCATTTAACAATTGTCATTAGTTTATAGAGTTTTTTGGTTAATGATGTAATTTTTTTTTAATTTTTAGTTTATTTTTTTGTAAAGCTTTAAGTTCACCATTTTAAAATTCTTTCAACTTCCTTTTCCTTGACGATTCCCTTCATGAATTTTGTTTAGCAGGTAAATATGGATCTCTATAGAATAACATGTTGCTACGTCTAGCACATTTGAAGTAACATGTACCATTTTACTAAATAGCCAGCCTGCGGCAATTGTTTATTCGCAGGCTGGCGATTACATCCACCGCAATAGGCCGTGACTTGCACAAAATGAAGCTAACAGCTACTTTTACCGATTTTACTCTTCGAGCGTTAAACTGGGTCAAACACCTTCTCGATTCAAGGTTCGCGCCATATACGAGTAGTCAAACATTTGTGTTTGATTTTTTGGCCTTTGACACTAATTAATGTTAATTCCCATTCACATTTTCTGGGAAAGTTGATAACAGAAAAACAGAACCCAACTTTCAAAGCATCAACATTCGATTCTGATTTTTTTATCTTTGGCAATAATCAGTCAAATCCCACCTACATTTTCAGGAAAAGTTGGCAAAAAACTTACGTGCCCACGAACCAAACTTCTTTGGCAACGAAGTTTCCTCGTGAGGTAAGAACCACGGCGCCAAGAGAGATCTGCACACTTGCAAAAGGCTTAGAAAGGGTTCCAGTAGAAAACAGAAGACGACAAGTGCTCCGATCCAGGCTAGAACTAGTGTGAGTACTTGAGGGTCCGGCATTTTCACCTTTAAAAATACGCCTACGTTAAAACATTTTACTCATATTATTTTCTATTACAATCGGCTGACGTCATTTTAACTTATCGTAAATAGAGTATGGTTGAAAAACGAAAAATTATCACAAATTAAGTTTCAAGTATACTATGTCATTTACCTTATTTCCCGGTATAATTTCTCTATAATTTCAAATGATATTTCTGTTAAACTTTTGAAAAGACATTATATAGCCAATACGAATACGATTGGTTAGAAATCTATCATTTTCATAGGTGAGTAGTTAAATATTTCTTTATATTTTAAGTATTTTATTATCGACCTATTTGGTCTCCGTTTGAGATAATATCAGTCCTCCGAGCCTTTACATTGAAAAACGGTTGCAATCTTTTAATTTTTAGAAAAGCAGTAAAGTTATATACTATTTTCGTCGCTTTTTGTCGGTTGGAAGAGAAAGCTAGAAATCTATATAGCGCATAATCGCTCCAGTCGTCCGACTCGATTTAAGGCGTAATATTAAATAGAGCAGGTAAAATTACACAGATTGCGTAAATTTAACAGCAATTATTTACATTTAGATAACAACATGTGCGTGTGATGCTGAACTTGACCATCAGAGTACAGTCTGGTAGACTTTTACTTTGTTCACTGTAGGCGAACAAATCGAAAAAATGTCGGCCAAGATTTGAGATTTAAGAAAAATAATCTTACGACAGCAGATGCTTTTGTGAAGAGTTGGTGCCAGGCAAAATAATATTCCATTGTCAGAATGGTGATTATTCTGCACTAGTAGACTGTAACCTAGACAAAAGTGTGAAAGTACATGATGGTGTGCTGTCAGCATTTACAAAAGTACATTCTAACAAAATGATTATTACCAGAGCAACACCAGTTTATAAAACATCATGGACTTTTAGATTCCAGGTCTGGTAACAAAATATTTTTAAAATTTACCCATTTATACGGTCACCAAGTTTGGCTAAGCCACCGCCAAACACTTTATACATTTTCGAAATAGAAAGCAATTGAAAGAAAAAATGCTGTAAAAATATGTTTCGGCTTGTGAACATAAATAAATATGAATTTATTAAAAAGAAAAATTAACTTGGCAAATAACGCCAGCAAACTTTTCTTTCCTACACGATGCGTACTTTGAAAAATTCCAAGTCAAATCAACACTAATCGAGAAATGTAGAAGCTAGAAGATACATTGATTTTTCTATTCCACCCAATTACCAGTTTTTTCTATGGTTCGATTCCTTTAATAGGCTTTGTTAAATCTTCAAAGATTATTAGTTCCCGAAATGATATCTCGTCACCACTAATGAATCATCTCCGGTTGAAACACCCAGTAAAATTTATAATTATTATCCTTTGGATTAACCGAGTGCAATACTATTCAACGCAGACACGAAACGAAAGTCGCTGCTGCTGAAGTAACTTCCACACCAGAACAATTAAACTGCGTTTAGAAATCCGCAAGTTGCAAAATGTTTCGCAGTTGGTAATATTGTTAAGGAATTATAGGCATTTTTTTTTATTTATGAGAGGCTAAACGAATCAATTTAGTTTTACAACAATTGCCACATTTTGCAACGGCAGCAAAGTGAATGACCTGTTAAATAAATGAGTTCTTCATTCGAAGAAATTCACTTATTTTGGCGAATAAATAAGTGTCTTTTGAACGGAATCATTTATTAAGCGTTGTAATTTTTTGTAATAAGAATTCTTCATACAAAAAATAATAGATGCTTGTTCTTTTTCAAAAGTTAAAATAGCGACCTCGCCCTGAAAGTGACACTTCATTCCACGCAGGAACTTACACAATTATTATAATATCTTAGGAATGAAAGGAGTTAGAAACATGCCGTTTGAGCAATTTTTATTTTTACGTACGTAGAAAAATAATTGAGATACTCCGCAAAAGTTTCGAAAATGGATACTCCGTACATGACCGTACTGCCATATTTCTCGGTACCTTTTAATGATATATTTGCAAGCTTGAAACGTATGAGATGATGACTGTTGTGCAATTTGGATTACTACACACGTTGGCCAGATTAACCTTGATCGAGTACGGTTTAAGATGCGTGCGAGTCATTTGCGTTACGATATTACACAAGCTTGCATTTTGTGATTCTTCAAATAATTATCAGCATTTCCTGGGCGGTTTCTAATTCTGCCTATTCAATTTTATTTAATTTAACCAACAAAATTAGCAATAGTAAAACTACAGTACTTTGGTGACAAATTTTGAGCAAACTACAATCTTTTTTTTTATACTAATCTACTTTAAGTTACAAAATTATACTCGGTACCTCTTGTATCTGATAAGGTATCGAATAGTTCATAACGTATACGACATGACAATGCACTACCGCTCTGTCTATACGGGTCAAGTTCAAAAGTGATGAATAATTGTCAAAAAAACGTTTCGAGTTTGAGTCTGAGAGTTAGAAATATAATCGGCACGATCTACGCGTGATAACAGAGAAAATGCTTCACACCCAATTCATTATTTTCTTACTTGCAGCTAACATTCTTCGGAATAGGAAGCGTATATATCGCAAGTTAATATCGGTTCGTACTCGAGACACATAACTAATCATCAAGGTGATTTTTCTAACCGCAGTTGGTAATTAAGAATTGTTCTTTTATAGTAAAAGGTCTTAAATATACAAGCTGTTTGAAAATGAGTCGGAATTACCGTTCGTTACTGGGCAAAATCTAATTGAAAACTTAAATGTATTTAGTGGTTGCATAGGCAAATTAGATATATAACTTGGTTAACATACACAATTAGGTCGTTTCCATTATTCAATAGATATAATTTTATAGATAAAACATTAATTGCGAACGTCAGTATAATGCGTTCCACAACAAAATAGGTAAAATTCAGATCGAACAATCACGTACACGAAAAAAAAAAGTTTGCGTAGCTAAAAAACTTTTTCTGATCCTATGACAAAATATTTGCGCAACCAAAATTTAAACAACTGAGGGTAATATATTACATCTAATTAAAAAGATTCAGGCATGTAAAGTAAAAAAAGGAAAAAAAGAAAAATAATTATCAGTCTGTCAGTCAAAAACAAAAAAGAATATTAACTTTGGTAACACAAACATAAAATAGAGCACTTATTGCACATTCTTAGAGTTAGATGGCCTAGCCCTTCAGCGTTTCTGTCTAATGTCAAAAACAAACGAAAATGTGTTTACAAATAGAATTTTTCATAGAAGTCACGTGCAAGATGACTCGTTCAAATTTTTTGAGTATAGTATAGTGATAGCCCAAGTTTGAATGTTGTTACATCGCTCTAAAATATGCTAACTGCTAACATTTTCTTGACGCTTTTTAAGACATCTCTTTAAATTGTACAAGTGTTTAGGAAATCTTAGTAAAAGGGCGTTTAGTACACAAGATTGATTCTAGGTTTAATATTCTAGTCATGCATCTTTTGTGACTGTCGTCTCTAAAATCTGCTAACTGCGTTGGCTAACATTTGGCTGTGAATTATTTTACTTTGCCATTGCACATTGAGTATACTGAGCACTAATTTCCTTGATGTTTTTTTAAAACCTCTGTTTAAATTGTGCAATTTTTTGGAAAATCCTAGTAAAGAGGACGTTTAGTGCACAAGATTCATTCTAGGTTTATTATTCTAGTAATTATTATATCATTGCATCTTTTGTGACTAGCGTTTAGCCAGCCGGCGAACTTGGCACCCGAAGCTATTTGTTTTGTTGAAAACAAAATATTCGTCGTCCAAGTTGTTATTCCACCAATAGTTAGTTTTTGGTCTGTCGTTAGAGGTCTGCCGTATTAACTCTGCATTTGTGGCTGGTCTACACTTTTCATTCGTGACATGTTTGTCGTCTGAATATATAACCTGAACTATAATCTGTATATCGAACACAAGGAGTAATAAAAGAGAGATAGAGACGGTACGATTTACACCACTCAAAAACTTCCAAATCCAATGATGCGAAATGGACACAAAATTTCAAATATAAATAGAATTAAAAACTGTGGTTTTCGCTAGGGTAAACGAGACTGCGTATCGACCAATGAAAAGGTACGTTCGGTGGCACAATAATTACGACATGTTTAACAATAGTGTTTTATGTACAATTAGCAAAATCGACCAAGTAATTAAATGATAAGATGTTTCTTATCAACAAGTAAGTGCCGTACGTAAAGCCAGTACTGCTAAAACGCAAGGGTACAGCAGGAAAGGCTCAACGATCTATTCGCCTCCAGGCGTTTGCTTAATTTTCCCTTGATCCTTCGTAAGCACCGGTGACTGTAGTTATGCAAACGGTCGCCATGGAATCGCGTAATGGCATACATTAATTGTTTGGTCAAGGCCACAATTGTATGTGTATAATGCATACGAGAGAATGTAAAAGCACCACGTTCAGCCTGTTAAAACCTTAAGGTGTAATCCTTTGTTTGCGGGGATCTTTCAACTACAACCGAATCGTACGGAAGCGTACGGTAACTGCGTAAGCGTCACGAAACCTCATCGAATTCTCTTGTCGTATACGAATTCGAGAGGATAAGACACGGGAAAGGCATATTTTATTTGTCACAATATCATCGACCGATTCGGTGAAAGTTTTTGATTACGTACGGATATAATGTGTTGCGCGATACAATCCGTTTAGTTCGGTTTAGTTTTACGGCACAACGCCAAAATATAATTCGGCTTAAAATTAATTATCGCTTGCACGCTTATAAATTAACTGGTCAATACTTCTGTTTTAATTGGGCTGTTTTGGGTTTGAGCAATTTGAAACTTATTATATCACAATTAAGGAGTTTTTCACTGGAAGGAAACATAGTGGATTTTATCAAAAAAACAGACCGGTTAGCAGGAAATTTTCAGAAAAATATCGTTAATATCGCTAACGAGGGGGTCGGCCATTAATAAACTAGTTATTTATATATTTTATTTCAATTTTTGGGTTTTAGACTATGATGAGCAATGTAAAGCGTACTAAATGTTTAGGA